AATTCCAAAACAATAATCGAGGGGCTTGGAGGACACGGGGCATAAGTGCAGTTTTTGAAAAAATTGAGATCGTAATGATTTCGAGTAAAACCACTCCGGATGCAAGCTCTGAGAAAAATTCGCTCCGAAATTCCAATTTTGCAGCACTAAAAAGTCAGTTAGAAATTTTTTTTCGCCATCAGGCGTGTAGCCTCGAGCGTATGTACAAAAACTATAAAATAAATGTTATGCACGGTATAAAGGTGACTCTTATTTTATAGAAATATTTTGAATTTCTTTCTGCAAACTGAACCTAGCACTTACTGCGCTAAAGCTGACACATGATTTATAATTTTTCCCTCTCTTGGAACTGTCTGTTTATTTTTAAAATGGAAGCAATTTCTCATACTAGTAAGATCTGTATATCTATCAGGCCAATCTCGTTTTTTTTCTTTTTCTTCTTGTGTGTGTTGAAACATTGTTATGCTTTTAAACAATTGAATCATCATTCGGAAAGTTGACATTGCGATAAAAATCAGTAATAGTTTACTTCGTTGGCACAGTAGGTAACGCTGAAGTTAGGGTAAAAGATAAACAAGTAAAGTGCCATTAGTTAGTGTCGAATGTGACAAACGCTAAACATATTTAATTTTAATTCCTGGATGCAACTATTCAAGCTCCATGAATGTCCGTGTTGCATACGCACGCAAGTGAAGGGGTTTTGACTGCTCCGGCACTCACCACTTCACCCGCAGCGCGGTGTTGCGCACAATAGATCAGTCAATGGGTGAGGTCGGATAAAATTTGGAAACTTTAAAAGCTCATAACTCCGTTCTTACAAAACTTTGCGATTTTAAAAGTGGTCCCAGTAGTTTCCTTTTGAAATTCTCTTCTAGGAGCACTCCTAAAATTATTAATTTGACAAATTAAACATCAAAATTTGCAGGTTCAGTTATGAATATATGAACTCTCTGACTGGCTCGATCCAGTGTGCGGCGCGGCGCCAGATCTGCCGTGCTAAGGAAGAACGCCGTATGAGCCTTTAGACGTTGCCAAGTTTCTTTTGATAAAACCCGAATTCACTAGGAAAATAGTGAATATTTTTTTCCAAAATTTTCAGACAATTTTGTACGCAATTTTATCTAAAATGTCTGAAAATTTCAAGGAAAAACATGCATGAATACCGTCAAAAATACATGCTTTATCAACAGAAATTTGGCAACTCCCGAATGTTCATACGGCGTTCCTCCTCAGCACGGCAGAGTAGCAGGCTTTACTACGAGGATCCGAAAAAGCAGAGCGCTGCTTTCAATTCTTCGTTTATACTGCAAAGCTATCTCCGTGGCATTAATAGTTGTATTCAGGCGTAGGATGTGATTATATTTTGTGCTTCAGTTTAGATATCGCGATGTGCTGAGCATGATTTGTAGAGCTAAAATTTATGCCTACGAGGTGCCTTCGAAGTATAATTGAAGAATTGAAGGTAGTCTGTCATTTTAGATCCTCACAGTAAAGACCATCGCACAACTATATGAGCCTTTTAGAGAGGTTGGACATGAAATTATTGAATAAAACTGCAAATTTTGATGTTAATCTATTACATTCGATCGATTTTTTATTTTTTTTTAAATTTGTATCGAAAAAAGTGTTAGAAAAATTGTGCAGTATGCCACAACATAGTGATTACATTCTACATTGTATGGGGTGCTTTTTGAAAGAAATTTTACAAGAGAATCTACGAAACCACCTCTAGATAACCAAAAAGTCCATGTATATGGTCAATAGCATGGAGACTTTAACGCTAGGGTAGAAACATAGGAGAATAAACGGTCGCAACGCTATTCAGTTGCGAAATGGTTTCACGTATTGATACAAATAGCTTGGGTTGTTCTCCTAAAATCCCGGTCACTCTTTCATGTTTTTAGGTCAGAAGATTCTGAAAATGCTTAATAATGCTATAGCAATCGCCTAAATTTTAACTGGATTGGCACGAGTTTTCTGAATTTTTAGAATTTTTAGAGCTATTTTCAGAGAGCATAATTTTTGACTTTCTACTGGGAGATTTTCCATAAGTATTGATATCCATTGAAAAGTTCTCTGGAACCATGTGATCCCTAATTTCATAATTTTTAAACTCTGGAACACGATGGTATTTTAGAAACAACCGAGTATTTAAAGTAAAAGACATGACTAGGGGTATTTGACATGACGTGAAATGTTACGAATATTTAATGAGCGTTTTTGAGCCCAAGGTTTGGCATAGCGAAAACATTTTTGAGTGTAATTTTCTGGAATTTTTCGATGCCAGAATCCGGAAAAAATCTGTGAAATGTTGCATTCGTAATAACATATTTAATGTGAAATGCAGGACAACAGCCAATTATCACTGACTGTGAAGTAGTGTGTGACGTGGACGGAAGTCAAAACCCCTTCAATTCCGTGTGTATGCAATACGGACAACTATGGAACCCGAATAGTTGCATCCAGACGTTATAATGAAACCAGTGTAGTATCCGTTGAAGCGATACTAACTAACTAGCTCGAGTTAAACACCCCCCCCCCTCAATCTTGCACCGATAATCTTCAGAATTCTAAATGTTTTAATCTGACGAAAATGTTCGGAATATTTCCGCAGCAGTGGGGACCCAGCACTATTGGGCATTATATGTTTTACTAAAATCCAACTCAATGCAGGTTCAAAATTTCTCTTGATACAGAAGTAAATTTGGTAGGAAGTTCGTCTGTTTGATGTGGGTGATTATTGATCAAATATTGCAGTGAAAATTGTTTTAAGTCAAATAATGGATATTCATCCTCATTTGTTTCACACAAATAAAGTCTAAAGATCATTTTACGGCAGAATATCCTAAGATTAACACGCATGGAAGAGATTAAACTGCTTAAAAAACTATGATTAACGATCACATTGTTTCAAATTTAGTACTTCTTGAATACCCTTTTATGTGTTTCCACATTTTCTGTGAAAAATTTTACTAACATAGAAGTTCTTGCTCTATGAATCAAAGAAAGGAGCTGAAAATTTATTTGAATCGTAAGAAAAAACGAATGGTGTTGTAATTTATGTGAAATCCGTTCTTTGATATCATAACTGAAATCAAAGAAAAATTACAAATATTGTTTTCTGCGGTGAGCGTTTCGTATTTCTGGAAATTTTTTTCAGGATCGCAGTATAATATCATTTACACAGAATAACACTCGCTTTCATAATCAAGATGATCAGTATCCAAAATATTGAGAGCTAGGTATTTAGAATTCCCGTAGATACAATCTAAGTATCCGTCTCTTCCTATCGAACCGGAAAGTATACTTAGTAGATATTTGAAAAATGCACTCTGGTCGCAATGTAGTGTTTATGTTTATGAGGCTCAAGTATAAGTCTAAGAAGAGGCTAAGAAAGCTTCCGTTTTAACATTGTTTAAAGCAACATGCCTGTAGCTTTCTTCAGCATCCATGTTAACCGCGAATCATCATGCTGATGATTTTTGCAATGCTCAAGTTAATTTCTAATTTGTGCGTCATGTGATATGCATTTTTTTTTGTAGAAGCAAAGTGGAAGCTTTGAAGTGCTGCTGAGATTGTTCGACTTTATGTTCTTTATATAAAGGAACTTTTTGAAAGCATTGCTTGAAAATGTCCCGTATCCTCTCTATTTTTTAAAGCAGATACTTAGGGTGCGTGTTAGATTGGTTTGCTACAGATCATACACAAAGTTGCACGATCTGAGCAAAGCTCATACGTCGTTCCCATAAAAAACGGCTCGATTACAATTTTCTCACACGCACATCAGTGACGTGCATATCGTAAACGGTCGATTCATCGATATTTTCCCAATTGAAGCTATGTTAAAGAATCGATTATTAAGCTGTTCGTTGCGAACAACCTGTTTATCGATCCGTTTCTATAGGTTCATTCGGCAGATCAATCGATATATCGCAAAGCACGTCACGCCACTGACGTGCATGCGCACCTGAAGAGGAAGCCCAGCTTTGCTACAAGAACAGTGCCGTCGTAAAAAGCCGAGCCGAAACCTGGATGCGAGGAGCCGGAAGTGATTGAGCATAACGAACAAAAACCCGCGATGAATGAAACGAAAAGTCGGATGAAGCGGAAAAAAGTTGCGAGGAGGCGGGGAGGGGGGGAAGGGGCGACGTTGGCAGTTGTTTGATGGCCGTTGATAGGCCGAGCCCGGAGATTCATCACCGCGGTCCGATTCCCGATTATTTATGACGTATGCCAGAGCGAGGCTCATGCTGCCATGCTAAGGAAGGGCGCCGCATGAACATTCGAGAGTTGCCAAATTTCCTTCGATAAAATGTTTATTGTTTAGGAAAGTTAAGAATATTTTTCCTTTATATTTTCAGAATCTTTAGGTAAAATTGCAAACTAAATTATCTGAAACATTGGAAGGAAAATATTAATAGCTTTACCAGGAAACTCGCGTTTTATCAACTGACATTTGACAACGCCAGAGGGTTCATACGGCGTTCTTCCTTAGCACGGCAACTCTGCCGTGCTAAGGAAAAACGCCGTATGAACCTTCAGGCGTTGCCAAATTTCCTTTCGAAACACGCGAATTTCCTGGTAACTTGAAGAATATTTTCCTCCCAATTTTTCAGATAATTTAGTTCTCAATTTTACCTAAGGATTTTGAAAATTTAAAGGAAAAATATTCCTAACTTTCCTCAAAAGTGAAGATTTTATCCCAGGAAATTTGGCAACTCTCGAATGTTCATACGGCGTTGTTCCTTAGCACGACAGCATGCACACGGACACAGGGCTCGCACACACGCGCGCCGGAGTACGTACTCGCGGGTCGGCCAGCGCCGCGTTTATGATTTCATAGCCGAGCCGTATATGCAAAGCCACGATAAAAATCGGCGCGGGCCAATTAGAGCCGAGCCCGGCTCGGTGAGCCAGCCAATGAGAGCGCGGCCCGGGTCTGCTCGGGTGGAAGAGCCGAGTCGCTGCTCTTGGCGGGAAGTCTCGGCCGAGTCGTCGACGCTGTGTGCGGGTGGAAGGTACGTTCGGGCCGCTCTTCAGTTCCTCACCGCTGAGTCACGTGCTTTTTTCGCAGGTTCATCCGCCGCCGCGAGGTAGCGTGCCGGTTCCGCCGCTCTCACTCGTATCATATGAAACTCATCAAAATGTGCAATATAGTGTAAACATTTGGGTTGAAGAATTGCGTCTCTCAAAAACGAAAATAAAATAAAAATGTGCAAGTATGGATTTGGGCACCATCGTGACCTTCTTCGACAAGGGCGGAAAGTGTTTGTGGGTGGATCTTTCCTCTTAATGAGGCACTCGATCATTTCATCATAAGGATTTTCAAAGCGTCCTTTCAAAGCGTATCAGAAAATAACGCATCACCGCTCGCAAATAAATGTCTGGGATTTCATAATCTTGGAGACTTAAACGCGGGTTGAAAAAAGTAGGCGCCGCCGGGCAATACTGACACTTGTGACCTTTGCGGGATTGGACTCTGACTTTTTTACGAACGATACCTTTTCGATGGTTTTGAATTGGTGCGATACAAAGTCTGAGTGATTGGCTCTCCGATAGTGAGTTTAATTAGTGTTAGGATCTTGCTCGATTCTGGAGGCTCTGTGCGCTTTTTTTAGTTAGTCTCAAAGTTCGGGATTTAAAATGTGTATTCAAACTTCTCGTCTAATCGACATTCATTCTGCGCGAAACGAGGATTATTTTTGTGCGAAGTGTCATACGTACGTGAGTTGACCATCACCGGTTCGAGGTAATTCGCGATAAGTCGGTCGCGGTAGCTCTTTTAAGTGCGTTTTTATTGTGCTTTTTTTATTACTCCGTTTATCATTTTGTGTTCAGTTGTTTTTGAAAATTATTCAACCTGGAGGGCCACAACGTAACTCATCAAAACTCCGCTATGTTCACCAGGTAAATCTTTTCGGAATGGTTTTCCGTCCTTTTTTTCTCAGCTTCTGTTCATTTTTTCACTCTTTTTTCTACCTTAAGGTCTGTTTTATTCGCAATTAGTAACGCACGATTATATTGACGGTGTATATTTTTTTCCCGGCTTGTGGGATATGAGGGCTGAGAGGTGTCGGAGAGTCATTCCGTGCGAATAAATCGATTTTATTTTATCAGGCGTCAAAAACACTGCAATGTGGTCACCTGTTCGGATTAATTTCAGCAAGTATAATGTAAATATATTATAGCGTTTGTAAATTTGTTGCTTTTGGTTAACTGTATGTAATTCTCAGCGATGCAAATGAGCGTAGGACTGGGGAATTTCATATAACGACTATCGAATAGAGGAGAAATAAAATGCTTTTGATATGATATACATGGGGAAAGAATCTTAGTTTTGCAAATATACAGGAAATACAGACACTAAAGTTATTAAGGCCCGTTCGACTGCTAAAATCACTCTCGTAGATATATTTGTTTGATTTTTCTCCTTTTGTTTAAGAGTTTAAAAATTGGTGTAACATAGAAATTCAATGGGAAAAAAGGGGAAAAAGTGAACCGACATTCCAACTCACCGGCCTACCTTTCGATGTGAAATTGAGACAACCTGAAAATCAGAGTTTCTGGCACGTATTGTTCCCTTAAACTAAATTTTTTTCTGAGACGTGACCAATTTTGATGATCTTTCATCTCGACAAGTATCTTCGAAAGTAAATAAGTAGAAATGGCTACTTCGGTTACCATTTTATATTTTTTATTGCTTTTTTTTCCTCAATGGGATAATTTGTGCGCACATGCTTGACGATCAGACAAATGCGAAGTAGAATCATATCAAGTAGAATTAATAACGGGCCTTCCAGAGGGTTACATTAATTTTAGCCTAATTTGAAGATTCAATTTTTGCTTGCAGTAGAAATTAAGAAGAAAGCTACAAAGCTAATTTATTGAACATAGAGTGATCGCAAACGATGATAAGAGAAAGAAATAAATACTCCCAAAAGTGGATCGTATTTAATTTTACGTGAAAACCGCAGACGTTAAAATACGAGCAATAACATCCAATGTTCTCCGTGTTTAAACGAGGAGGAAAAATATCATTTAAACATTTTGCAGGAATAAAAATAATAACAACTGAACTTCTCTCCTAGAAAAGGAACCAGAGATTTACGTTTACCTTCTAAATGTATCAAAAGGTAAACGGCTTTACCTGCTCATAATGACGATAAAACGCAGCCGTACTAGTGGCTTTTCTCTGCAACATTTATTTCACTTAACTGTATGCTTGAGATTTCCCCTATATTTTTCCGTCGATAGAGGAAAGAGTTTTCTGTTGAAAAGCTAGAGAATAATATGTATAATTACCGCAATAATTGTACTCAGGACGAATTTTCGTGGATATTATAGTACACACACCGTCGCATAAAAATCATGGTGCGAGAGGAGAAGAGTGGATGAGTGGTGCCGCCAAGTCCCAGGCGCGTGCGCAGAGATCGCCCTCGGCAAAAAAACCTTTTTCAATATAAAAATGTTGCCGGTCGTAAATTATAGTTAATTTATTTAAACTGCTCCGAAAACGGTCAGTAAGACTTATGTTTTGCACCCGTTCGGTCCAATAACTGTGCTAAACTCCGTCCACTCATTGTCTGCGCATACATTGTTAATTTAGAATTAATACGCGGCGGCGCATATTGAATTATTTTCTCACAAATAAGGGAAGTATTTGTACTTTTAAAAGCTTCCGATTTTACAAAAATGTATTCAATTAAGTAAATGCTGATGAGTTTATGAATATCGGTAGTCACGTTTGATATTTACTAAAACTGTCTCCAAAAAAAATTTAAAAAAAAAAATTAAAAAAAAAATTAAAAAAAAAAATTAAAAAAAAAATTAAAAAATAAAAAAAAAATTAAAAAATAAAATAAAAATAAAAAATATAGAGTTGGCTTTTTTTGAGGAAAGGATTGAGGACATCGGAATTTGGTTTGTTATGGATATAGGTATACTCAGAAAATTGCTGAAAACATTCATTCATCACTGGAAAAAAAAAAAAACATTGGATCTAGAGTCCAGACTCTTAAAAACATCGACAAGAAAAAGCATTCTTGATTCAATCAGAATCTAGCTTAAACCAAGAATCAAGCCTCTTAATTTAAGCGGATTTCGTTTTGATTCACGGAAAAATCCGATTGAATCAAGAGTATTTTTTCTTATCAATGTTTTCAAGAGTCTGGACTCTATTGTTTCTGTTATTGTCTTCTGTTATTGTCTGTTGTCTCTGTGTTTTTTTTTCCGGTGATAAACATGCGTCTACACCGCTGACTCGGAAAAGTCAAGCTTTTGACTACACAAACGTTGACAGTTTTCATCAGTCGTATTATATACAGTTAAACGGTTGCAGATCTAATTCCCAGTTTGATTGTGTCCATGAAGAGTGGAGATGGAGACATGGAATTTTTTTTGCAATTTCCGAAGTCTCACCATACGTCGCCGAAAAATCGCCGCAAAAAAGCGAGTTTTTGACCACATGGGCTCAAATATGGATTGTTAAAAAGTGAATTAATTAGCTAAGAGCCCATGCAAACCGGATTCTGATATCTTCAACAGTTTCCACCAAGCAAGCCAATTTTCAGGTTTTTTCAAGTAACTTTTGGATTTAAAAATATTCGGGCAGGTATCCTAATGTGTGATAACGCAACTCCTCGGTCATTCCTCATATTTGTTTAATGGGATCAAAGTTACTTTTTGAGAACTGTCATAAATTCATTGGTCTTTGGGTGAAGAATATTCTTTAGAATTCAAACCAAGCAAGTCCTCTCGTTTTCTTTGAAAAGGAAATAGATAAATAAGGAATGATAGGAGTAAAAATATTTCGCAATCGAGTTCCCTCATCGGTTTATGTACACGTTTTTGTTTTCCATCTTTATTTGTTATTCTAAATGAAATTGAGAGGGTGATTGCAGCAATAAAATTTTTCACAAAATAATTTTACTCCTCTTTATGAAATGCGTGTTTCATTCGCGGTCTTTGTACTGAAAATGAAATTTGAATAAATTCCGAAAAAAATCGAAGTAACACGATTTATTATCCTCCAATGTCGGTCCTTTTTTGCCTTACCTTTGGAACTCGCTTTTTCTTGATCAGAAGTAAATATCTATGAATCATCAATCGATTCAGTAGAATAGCCTTTACAAAATATATATTTTCGATGTGTTAACAAAGGATAAGACGTAAAATTTTGTCATTCTCATGAAATACCACGATTCTTTGTTGTTCCTTTTTTTAAAAAACAAAAGACGTCTAAACGGATTTTTATATCCATTATATATCGAACCTAGGATTTGATAAACTTACAACAATTTGTTAACACTGTAAGATGATTCTTAAAATTATTATAGGAAAATCACGCTATTCAAATGAAAGGAATTAAGAGAAAATGCTGAATATTACAGGAAAAATTGCTTCCGTTAAGAGTATAATTCGATTTAAACACCCGGTTGGTTTGTGCAGGGCACGGTAGTAATGTTTTGATACGTAACAGCTCATTTTTTCTCTCCAAGAAGAAAAAATGTATGTGTCCCGTGGAATTTAACGAGTGGTTAACGTTTCATTTAAGACCGGCCAAAGGATTTATGAATTTGTATACCATTTAAAGAAGCAATTCGCATATTTTTTCAAGCAATATCAATGCGCATATTTCCGTTGATTTTTTCCCGCAATCAGCGATAAAATGAAAAATATTATTCACTGTAACAATATTACAAAGGACTGATTTTTTTTTTTTTTTTTTTTAAATTCATTATATCTTGTTTGTTTTTAAACTGTGAGAAGAGTTTCCTAATAGTAGTTGGTTGCCTCTTCATTATTTTATCACGTTTCCTGCTTAATCTCGTCTTCGTCTCGTATTGATATTCTCTTTCCATTTGCATTAAAATTAGTAGGACAGTGTATTAACGGAAATTCGCATACCTTCCTTATTGATCCATTATTTTAACCAAAATATGACATGTAACTATGTAATATAGTAAATGCGCCACCCACCTCATGGAAGTTTAACGCTTCTCGTGTGCTTCATATTTATCTTACAGATTGAATTTAAAATTTAAAGAAATTTAAAGGAGAAGACGGAAAAAATTATTTTGTTAATTTCCTGGAAATGGGATGTTTGAACATTAACATAATGATACCATATGATACCAATGATTAATCCAAGTGGAATTTTGAGGCAGAAAGATGTAGTTAAAGAGTCCACGGTTAATGTTTTGCCTCAAGTGCTTTAAAAATATAATTGATTTTATGTATTTATTCTGACTGGCTTAACTAGGGTTGGCGTCATACCAAAAGATCACCATTCAATATTATATTTTTACTTTATCTTCAGTTTTCCCTCTTTCATAAACTTATCTTTGCCTCTGCGAAAGGTAGTCAAATTCTTCGCTGCGTGTGTAGGTACAGTACTTTGACAATTTTGATACGCACAAACTTATATTGCTCCCTTGAATTTCCAGAATGAAATTTTCTCTTCTGTATCATCTTAATCCTTATGCCCATATGTCATGCACAATATTTTTAATTCAAACATTTGGTCGGGAAAATAATGGTAAACAACTTTGTTAAAAAACTGTTGGTATGCTTAGAAAAAGGAAGAAATTACTAAGAATGTCTTCGAAGTGAACTTGAACAACAATTGATGCCGGAATTGTTTTTTCACATCATTGCGATGAAGTGAAGTTTTTCTTCTTCTTGTTTTTTAAATGTACTGCAATCTTAAATTCGAAGTTGAACCAAGCAGGTGATGAAATAATTAAGTCAGGAATACTTAAATGTTCCTTTAAATAAATCGATTGAATTATAATGACGGATCGATACCTACGAAGTTAGGTCGCTATAATATTTTGAAGGCCACTTAAAAAAGTATTCTAAAAGAAAACTCCAATAAAAACGGTAGAGAGAATTTTTGAACTTAACTT